CTCTGTCTCTGCAGGCACGTTTCCTGTCATGGTGAACAGGAGGCAGAATGGCAACCTGCTTGTGCACCTGGGACCCAAGCTGCAGGCTTACCCGGAGGAGCTGCTCCGGCAGCGGCGAGGCCACGACGGCCGGCCGGAGTACCTGATCCAGTGGAGTCTGGTCAGCTTGGAAGAGAGAGCAGTGGGAGGCGGCAGTGCCTCCTCTGCAGAGGCCAAGCCGGAGAACATCTCGCTGTGGATGTCTGCAGAAGAGGTGTGCGCCAGCTGCCCGGCGCTGCTGGGCGAGAGGAAGCTGGCAGGGCAGCGGGTGAAGGAGGAGAAGGCAGCCGGCCCGTTGGCCTCGGACGTCCCGCTGGATGTAGCCTCGCTGCTGGAGATGAAGGCTGACGTCAGGAGCCTGGTGCAGCGAGCCGGGCGGCAGATGGCCGAGACCGGGGCCCCCGAGTCCTCCGTCCTCAACACCATCCATGTGCTGAGCGCCTACGCCAGCATTGGCTCGCTGGCAGGTGCCTTCAGGGAGACGGGAGCCCTTGACTTGCTGACGAAGATGCTGTGCCACAAGGAGAAGCAAATCCGCCGCAGCGCCGGCAAGATGCTGAGGGCCCTGGCTTCCCGTGACGCAGGTGGGGGCTGCTGCTGCTGCTGCTGCTCAGTGCCGCTGAGGCCGTGTTGTTGGCAGCTGAGAGCTGCCAGTCCTTTTGTAGGCATGTGACACCTGGGAAGCAGCATGCCTGGGGGCTTGTGGGCAAGAGGGGAAGCACCAGCCTGGAGCTTGGAAGCGTCTCCTTGGCCGTAGTTGTCTGGGATGCTTGAAGACTTGGGAACCCTTTGCCCTGACAGGTTCCTGAGCTGGGATGCTGAGGAAGTGTTAGGAGGGCTTATGCCCAGGGGTTTGGCAGAGCATTGGGATGTCTCTGCTGCATGCTGTCAGTTGGGAAGGCTCTGGCCTTCCCTGGGCCGGAAGGCCTTCCTCAGGCCCTGGTGGGTAGAGGCCTGCTCCTTGCCCAGTCTTCTCATTTGAGAGGAGCTGCCATGGCTGGGCAGTGCCTGATGAGGCTTGGGTGCACCCGGAAGGTTGCTTGTGGTGGTGTATCTG